CTTTCCAGGATTTACTTAAGCCTCAGATAGAGGCATTTTATCTTAGCAGGTGCGTCAGCAGCAGCATCTGAATAGATTATCATGTTAACACATTTTTGGATAAAAAAATCTCCGTTAAATTAGAAATTAAATGTACAAATAAAAAGTAATCGTCGCGCACAGCGGCGTGCCGACGTAAGATAATTTACCAGCCCATATCATCCCGTGGTTGGGGGACACAGGGAAGTGAAACATGAGATGGGCAGAATCATCTTCCTGATAAAAAATTAATATAATAGAAAAAAACTTCAGTTGTTAACAAGGAGGGTTCTTCAAGCGTGGTAACTATTGCAAGCAATAGATGTTGTCTCATGGGGTATGAGAATATATGTATCTATTGAGGAAGCCTATATTCAGCAGAGGCCTTTTAATAGACTGTAAATAATAAATGTACGTGTTCATGTCAAGAACGAATTCACACCTTTAAATGTGACGAAGTAGCTTTTAAATGAAACGAAACAAACAAGATTAATGCAATTGCCCTATACATTAAACTTGCAGCTCCTTCCATGAAACAATTAGTACGGATTTTTATATTCTCGATTTTTATAATTATTCAAAACTCTAATCTAACTAATTTTTTTGAAAAATAATAAATAATCAAGTATGTCAAGAGAAAAACAACATATTTTATTTTAAAATTATATGAACAGATTATCTGTTTAAAATGCCTTCTTAATGCCGGAGGTATAAAACCTTTGAAACACGGAGCTATTATTTAACAGATTTAGAGAGTAAAATGTTCATCTTTAAAGAAATAAAAAATTGTGTTTTGTATAAATTGCATTATTAATAAACATGTCGCATAAAAAGAAGCGCAGAGAAACTTATTTTCCAAAATGTATTTAATTGCACCCACCACAAATGTCCACCACACCTAGGATTGATTGGTAGAATCAACCCGGGGTATGATAGAGTTAATCCTGGGTACGGTGCAGTTCGTCCTTTGTTATCTTTATATGTTTTTATAATGTTTGCAAAAGTTAATAAATATATAAAAAGTGACTGTAAGCAACTAAGAAGAAAACAAAATCCACATAATAGACTTTGAAGTCGGTGCTAAGACATATTATAACGAAATATTAAAGCCCCCGCTTCAGAAGTTATCAAGTGGAAATTACTTTATTCTTTTTGTTCATTGAAGTCGTCTAGTTACATTAAAACTTCACCTCTATTTTTCCAACCTCCGAGGTGGATGTTTTTTTTTTTTTTTCAAATTTACATGTTTTCACTTTTTAACTTGATCTATTTAAAATAGGACTAACTTTTAAATATTGTCTTTGCAATGAAATTATGTCTGTTAAATAAAAACAATAATTAAAATCGGATTTTTGCGTAGCATACGCACAAAAAGGAGAATTGTGAAATGCCTACTTTTTTAAGTCGGGTAAAAAAGAAGAGCGCTGAGTCTAAACCACTCAAAATAAAAACTTCTAGTTTGTGAAAATATATACTGTGGAGGATAATATAAAGGCTAAATGAGAAATATTTTTGAAACTCAACGGCCAACGCTATGAAATGAAATGTAAATATTTTATACAGAAAATTTTACTCAACACGAAATAGGGTCCTAGTCTTTCACTTCCATTTAATACAATTTTAGGATTTTAAATAAAAAATTATTTTAATATAAAGTAAAAAATTGCTTTAAGCTTACTGATACCAGCGATGGCATTATTTTAATGTGATCGTTATCGTTCGTTATTCATGTGAATGATGGCGAAATTAACAAAAATAACAATACTATAAATACAATTTAAATTTAATCCATAACTTATGCTCGAGTATAATAATAGATAGTGCTATAAATATAACGTAATTCTGATGATATCCGTATTAGTCACTATTACTAGTCTAATTTCTTAATACTTAATTACCTTCATAGTATTGTATTGTTATCCTCTGTATTTATTTATACAGATCAAAAAGGTTTATAGGTAAGGACTGAATATCATGATATTAATTGTATCGAGATTTTAATACTGCATGTTTGATTCCGATGTGTGTTATGAATATTGGTTATTAGTGTCAGTTTTAGGTAAACATTTTTAATTAAGAGTAAAATTAAGATTTTGTCTCAATGTTTTAATACTCCGTCATGCAGGTTTCCTCGCGACGCTTAACTTCACCGCCGAACCTCGTGATAAAACAGTAAATAAAATTTCAATTACTAACCATCATCGGCAGAAATAGTTTATTTCTGCCGATGATGGTCAAACCCGGCTTAATTATCATAATAATAATAATAATAAATAATTTATTTCGTCAAACATTAAAGTTACATTATACGATCAGTGATCGAGGTCACCTAGTAAGCAAAATAATGCCTGTAATAGGTGACTTCGCTCTTCCATAGCTAAAAATTACAGTATTATTAACGAAATAAAGTAACTAACAAGGAATAGTAAAGACAGTAAAAACATGATTTTAGTATCCTACCTTTTAATTTGATTTTAGTATCCTACCTAGTCTCATAGCATTAATACATTAATAAATCAATAATTATTAGGTTGTATTTCATATATGTAGTGTAAGTGTATTAGGTATTTGTAGTATGTTGTGTCGTATGTGAGTTTGTACATGTTGTATGAGTAGTGTATGAGGATGTATTAAGTATGGGTGTATGTATGTGTATATGCTCATTTAGTATTTGCATTGTAATAATGTCTCTGTTTCCTCATAATTTAAAGGAGTTAAGAAAATTGTAATCAATTTCTTAAATTTCTTATATGTTTTGCTATAGATCTTTAGTTCTTTGTTCAATTTGTTATATAGCAAACCGGAGCGACTTGAGCATTGTTTACTGGCAAATGCAGTTTTAGTTTTATTTAATGCAGCAACTGCTTTTCTTTTTTTTTGTTTTATGCTGACATCATAGGTTAAGGTTTTATGTTTTTTTTAAATAGTGTGTAGAATATACAGCTTTCTCACTGATAGGACTTTACTGATGGACATACAATGCTTCTCCCCATGGTATCGTGCCAAGAAAGCCGACTGCGGTTTCTCATTAAATGGCTATATACAGCGCAGAGCAGTCGCTGATACAGTTCCTTTAGGAACTTCACCACACGTGGGTCCCAAATACCGATAGTCTCCACAACAAACGACACAAAGATGTATTTATCTCTCAGAGACACATATTTGTACCACTTACCTAGCTACTTCTGATGCCGCCCCGGCTATAAACGAGGTACATAGTATTACAGTAGTATTCTTTTATCTCTCCCGGGTCGTGTCGGATTTCCATCCCATCAGGCTGTGAAAGTGAGGGAATAGAGAGTGCAACTGTGCTTTCGCTTACATTCGAGCACTATAATCCAGTCCTGTGCAGATGGCTAGTCTCCAATGAGATTGGCCGCCGTGATCTTAATTCGATCTGGAGAACATTATTATTATATTATATATATTTATTATATTATATATTATATTACACTACTGTATTGCTGCAAATTTATTTTTAAGCCGTCTTCATACAAAGGTGGATATTACAATTCGAATGCGTTTTTTTTTTGTATGTATGTTACGCAATATCTTTGTCAATTGTGGACCGATTTTGATGATTATATATTTTATACGTGGTAGAGCCAAGCTGCAGCTATATTACTGGTATAGTTGTAGCATGAATGGGTCGGGTCGACCAGGGAAGTCCCACACTCTCACAGAATACCAGCGTAAAATGGCAGCTAAACACTGCCGTGTTTCGTATGGTGAGTGTAGAAAACCGAAGACCCGGTTGGAATGTAAAAGAGGCATCCCATCTTAGTCCTCACGGGTGATAACGCATCTGCATTTTGATTCTTTATTGAGGACATATGTAGATCTCTATGGGTCACAGCAACCACTTACCATCAGGTGGACTGTGTGCTCGTTTATTATATCCTAATTCTATAAAAACGATTATTTTTTATTTAATGGGTTATACTTCAGTGGTAGTCCCTTATAAGTTTGAAGACAAAATTCCACCCATAAATGTAGCGATTTTTCCGAACCGATACGACTTAGGGACCTTCAAGAAAAGAGCGTACTCCTTTTTAAAAGGCCGGCAACGCATCTGCGATTCCCCTGGTGTTGCGGTTGTTCATGGGCGGCGGTAGTCACTTACCATCAGGTGAGCCGCATGCTCGTTTGCCCCCTCTCCTATAAAAAAAAGGCAAAATAGTGGTTCAATTTTTAATTTAACTATTTAGATGTCTTGATTGTGATATTCCTAAATCCATTTAATATGGTTAAAAATTAACTTTAAAAAATGTCAAAGCCGGCATTAAATAACTAAAAAGAATAAAATAATTTCACATGCTGAAGTCGGTACTGAGACATAAAGTATAGAAGAATGAAAGTTCCTACTTCTTTCCTGTTATTGTATTAAGTTAATCATTCAATTCGTCATTTTTGTCATGCTTACTGAAGTAAAAAGACTGAAAAACTAAAGTCAGAAGACAGTGAAACTATTGAAATTTTATTAAAAACATTTTCACAGTACGATTTTGAAATGAATTTGCGACGTAAATATTCATGAAGAAGATTTGGTTTGCTAACATAAACCCAACAACAAAGTTTTAACCTTATTCCTTGCCCTGGTTTTATTATTTGAATATATTTCACAAAAAAGGCCAATATTTTTCTTGAATTACCCAAATCCATGGTTGTTATGTATTTTATTCACCATTTTAGTGCAGGTAAGTTTCAGGTGATGCCATAAATTTTTTTTTCAATAATTAAGTTAATTGCGTTTTATAAACTAAGGATCACAAATCTTCAGTTTATCACTTTATCAGTAATACTCCATTGACTTACAATAATTTACTGAGTTAATGTAGTGTATGCGATTTAAATGAAACAACCGTACTGCCAGAGAGCTGATTTATTACTGGCTCGTTCTTTCGAAGTACCAGTGCGCATATACATCACCCCTTCCGCATTAATTTGAAAACCTAATAACAACAAAAAAGTAATTTATTATTTTACAATTTTTTTTTTCTTGGTCTTAGATTATAACGGCAGCGAGGGATGCTTTGTTCGGTATCGCTATGTGGCGCGGAAGGACCGGGCTTAGGTGCAACAGAAGCAGACTCTGATTGTTCCCCGTCATCCTGCCGATCGACAATCCCCTCCACCGAGACACTCTGCCGATCTGCCACCACCGCCTCTCCTCTATCCTCATCTAGCATTAAAGTTGGCTCACTGCCTTCCTGTGGAGATGTCTCGGCGTTAGAATGCGTGTTCGTAGATGCTGTATTGACTAGCGGAGCGTTATTTATACTACCCGGCATACCAACGGGAGGAGGTGCAGGGGAGATGGCAGTCGGATACTGCGGTTGAAATGCTGATGCACAAGATACGTCATTCGCAGTTTCAGGTGTCTTGTATCTTTCCGTATATCGCAGCAGTTGGTCTATGTGTCGCTTGCAAACACCTTGACCAGCAACTGAAACCGTATACATTCTGTTACCTTCTCTACTTACAATTGTAGCTTGGGACCAAAATGGTTTACGGGACGTATAACAACGCGCCCAAACCTTTTCACCAATATTAAACCGCCTTACACTATTATCACAAGATGTTTGCATGTCTGTATTCGTAGGCGGTAAAATTAAATCTAATCGCGTTCGCGGTTCACGACCAAACATTAATTTTGAGGGTGTTTCACCGGTGCTACTGTGAATGCTGCTGCGATATTCGAATAGACATCTTAACAACAATTCATTCATTCGTTCATTGCTTACATTTAAATTATTACTGAGGATACATTTAAGCATTTTCTTACAAGTGCGTACGGAATTTTCGGCTTGGCCATTACTACAGGGGTGATAAATAGGAGACGTCATATATTTAATACCATTAATTTTACAAAAAAATCGAAATTCTGCATTACATATTTTTGGGTCGTTGTCAGAAACTAATAACTTAGGTAAACCAAAAGTACAGAACAAATATTTAAGTTTTTGTATTAACATTTTAGTGGACATAGTGCTGCACATGTGGAGACATTCGAGCCATTTACTATAACTGTCTACAACAACGAGATACGTGCGGTGTCCGAGTTGCATGTAGTCTATGTGCACGCGCTCCCAGGCGGCTGCCGCGCGAGGCCAGGGTGCGGGGGGCGCGCGTGGCGGTTCGGGCCGCACAGCGCTGCATGCGCTACAGCTCGACACTAATCGCTCGATAGCAGAGTCGATTCCCGGCCACCACATCTTACCGCGCGCTATGCCTTTGGTTTTAACTATTCCTAAATGACCATTATGAAGCTCTTCTAACATACGATCCCTATATATTTTTGGAATAACAATTCTATGACCCCGCATAAGACAACCGTGTTCCACCTCCAAATCTGTTTTACAATTGAAATACGGTTGAATGTTTTTGCAACGAACTTTTCGAGGCCAACCATTACGAACATATTTAATTACTGTTTGCAATGTTTTATCCCGTGTAGTTGCATCTCGTATATTGTTAAACGAGACAGGCAACATCGTATCATCCAAAAACTTTAAATAAGACGTATTTTCGTGGTCATCTGATTCCCTTAAGCATTTATCATTAGGTGTCCGAGAAAAATAGTCCGCTACCACATTTTTATCGCTAGAGACGTATTGAATCACATAATTATATGCTGACAAAAATAGTGCGTACCTTTGGAGGCGCGATGCTGCCATTACCGAGACTCCATTTTTCTTACCAAATATGGCTAATAAGGGCCGATGATCTGTTTTCAGCACAAAAGGTTCTTTTCGACCAAATAAATATTGGTGGAAATATTTAACGCCAAATATTATAGCCGTAGCCTCTTTATGTATTTGGCTATAATTACTCTCACTGGCTGTAAGAGACCTGGAAGCGAAAGCAAGTGGGCGCTCGTTACCTTCTGGGCCCTGCGCCAGCACCGCACCAAGACCGGCCGGGCTCGCGTCCACACTGAGCACAAGTCGCGCACTCGGGTCGAAATGCATCAACACTCGGTCTGATGATAGTTCACGCTTAACTTGTATAAACGCCTTCTCATGACGCTCACTCCAAGTCCACGCTGCATCATTACGGAGTAGTTCATGGAATGGATGTAATATGGCTGATGCCCTAGGTATGAACTTACGATAGTAATTTATAATGCCTAGAAACCGTTTTACTTCTAAAATATTTTGTGGTCGTGGAATGCTTAGAATTGACTCAATCTTCTTTGGACACGTCTTAAGGCCCTGTCTGTTTATGACGTAACCTAAGTACGTAACACTGCGTTTAAAAAAATGACACTTTTCTTTTTGTAATTTTAAACCTGCATCTTTAAGCCTACCTAAGAATTCACGTAACCTGCTCAAATGTAATTGCTTGTTAGGGGCCGTGATACAAACGTCATCTAGCCAACAACTAACACCTTCAATACCTGCTAACAGGGTTTCCAATGTCCTTTGAAAAATAGCGGGCACATTAGCCAAACCATATACAAGCCGGGTGTATTTGTATAAGCCACGGGTTGTATTAATGGTGGTAAGTTCCTGTGACTCCTCGCATAATATAAACTGATTGTAAGCGTTGCTCAAATCAATTTTCGTATATCTCTCGCCACCCCCTATTTTCGCGAAGACTTCCTCTATGCGCGGCATAGGATATTTATCGATTAGTAGGTCTTTGTTTAATGTTAATGAGTAATCACCTGCGATCTTTATTTTACCGTTTTCTTTTAATACAGGTACGATAGGGGTCGCATATTTAGAGTAATTTACCGGAATCAGAATGCCCGCACGTGTTAATCGGTCAATTTCTTCATTTACTTTGTCTTTCAGAGCAAAAGGCACAGTTCGTGGCTTAAAAAATTTTGGTACCGCGTTATCTTTAAGGTGCAAGGTGATTTTAAATTTATTAAATGCCCCAAGTTCTTTACTCCACAAGTCCGCGTACGTATTTAATAAATTTTGAACTTCACTTTCATAGCTGTCCACTAAAATGTTATTATTATTAACTGATGTCAACTTAATTTTAAATTGAGACATAAAATCACGCCCTAAAAGTGGTGGCCCACCATTTTTTATAACAAAGAAATTTAATTGCTTCATGAAACCGTTATATTTTACCTTTGTACAGAAATAACCTAAAGGCGTAATTTTATGGCCGTTATAAACACATATTCTGATATTACATTTATAATTCAATGTTACGGTAGGAAAGTATTGCAAAAAAAATTGTTCGGACATAACTGAAATGGCCGATCCCGAGTCCACTTCCATACGGAAGTTTTTATTGCTAATATTCACCACCACAGTAATAGGAGCCAAAATCTCATACCTCATATTATGCAAACGGCACTCCATGCAGTCCCCACAGTCTCCATCTGATTCAGTTTCTTCCGTAACGGTATTGATGTTGTTTACGCGAACTTTACACATTTTTTTTAAAAGACCTTTAATACCACACTTTTGACACCGATAGGTCCTATAACGGCACTTTTCTGCACTATGTGTTTTTAAACCACATACACCGCAACGGTTTGTAACCTCTTCTTTACACCCGTTACGAGATACACTCGCTCTGCCACTGCCACTGCTTCCACTGTCATCGGCAGCACCTACATGCATGCCCCCACTGCTTCTCCAACGGTTCCCGCCGCTCCGACGACTAGATTCGCCAGCTGAGTAATATACCTGCTCCTCCTTGATGTTAATACCTGTTTCGCTGCTTACTAGAGCCTTGGCCTCTCTCGTATAAGCTGCCTGTTCAGCTATTTCTAAAGCCTTTGCAAAAGATAGACTTGAAATATCTTGCTCGAATAGTCTATCCCGCTCGAGGCCCGTCCCCAAGCCTAGGACGAAACAATCCAACAGAACCGTTTCTAAGGCGGTACCAAAGTTGCAATAACTTGCAAGGCCTCGTAGTCGCGCCGCCCATTCTCCTAATGGCTCGCCTGGGTTTCTTGTCGCTCCGTAGAATCTTGCTTTGTCTACGAAAGAACTGTGCTTTGGCTCAAAGTGCTTATCGAGTAATTCGACCAGTTCTCCGTAACTTAGCGTAGCTATCTCGCGTGGGTACGCAAGGTTACGTACGAGTCGATAGGTTTCATCCGAGAAGTTTGCTATAAGTATTGCACTTTTATTATCTCCACTGATGTTATTGACTTTGAAAAATTGCGTCAATTTTCCTTTAAAAATCGCCCACTCACTATTTTTATAGTCAAAGTTCGGTACATTTCCGATGTAAGCCATTTTTTTTTTTGCGGGTACTTGTACACACCTCGTCGCCAAATGTAGTGTATGCGATTTAAATGAAACAACCGTACTGCCAGAGAGCTGATTTATAACTGGCTCGTTCTTTCGAAGTACCAGTGCGCATATACATCAGTTAACCTTCAAAATAGTTCTATCAATTTGATGTTTATTATCTTGAAAAGAATTTCTGTCTTTGGAAGAATTTAATTGTTACAGATTTCGCCCTGTTATATTTTAGGCAAATTCCTTAATTTTTTACCATAGACACTGATAAAGGCTAGATCCTACAGCCTCGTTATGTATTCAAACTCATTTGGAAACATCTCATATTCAGCACACTCTCGTAATTAAGTATCTTCACGTAGAACGTGTGCGGTAATTCGCCAAGAACCGGATTTACAACAATTTATCTGTGATTTAGTTATTACTCGTACTTAATAAAGAATGACTTTCTATTTTATTTTAATCATGCGTTGTATTAATTACTTAAATTATTTAATGCATTCACCATACGTTATACACACACATATATATTTATCTATATAGAGGCATATATATATATATATATATATATATTTTTTTTTATAGAGAAGGGGGCAAACGAGCATGCGGCTCACCTGATGGTAAGTGACTACCGCCGCCCATGAACAACCGCAACACCAGGGGAATTGCAGATGCGTTGCCGGCCTTTTAAAAAGGTGTAAGCTCTTTTCTTGAAGGCTCCTAAGTCGTATCGGTCCGGAAAATTCGCTGGTGGTAATTGATTCCACAAGGAAGTTGTGCGAGGGAGAAAACTTCTTCTAAATCGCACAGTGGTGGACCGCCACTCATCCAGATAGATATATATGTATATATATATATATATATATATATATATATACTGGTTCTCGCATAGTTAAAAAGCAATAACCCCGTAAGTATCTTAAGAGGCGACGGACTCAACAAATCAGGAGATGAGCAGCAGCGTCCTTATTACGACTAAAATTAAAAATGCCAACCCGCAAGCCGGGCGTGGCAACTATGGCAAATATCCTCCCCAATTAGGCAATCTATGGGGGAGGCCTAAGTTCAGCAGTGGAGTTTGATGAGCTGTAACGGTAACGGTGTGTTATACTTAATATATTAGTATCTGGAAAAAAGTGTATAAGTATTGTTAATTTAGTTAACCTACACAGACTAGGTGTTCAGGTAACGTTTCTCGATCAGTGTTTAAAGGCATCGTGGAAGTCTTAAACATAACCATTGTTTTGTTTTTACAAAAACTGATCTGTGCTGATAATCATTAGAATCAGGCGTTAAGGTTAGTACTTTGCCTCAGGATGCCTCGTGCAGGGGCGTAAAACGTGTCATGTTATTGACGGTGGCGTGTCTTTCTTAGTATAGTGGTATTGGAAGTAGTGGTGTAGTAGTTAGTGGTTATGGGGATAGTGCACGCAATTGAGGGAGGGCGGGAGGTGTTCTTCAGCCTAGGTAAGACACATCATTTTATTTTTATTACGCGGATCTTGGCAAATTGAATTTTGATATCTTTAAAGTTCTATGCTGAACTTTCTTGTTACCGTGCCCGACAGGGTACGTGACTTTGTGTTTTTATCCTGTGTGATGTATATTGTATGCATATTATTAACTCTATTATTAATTTTTCTACGTGGTAGAGCCATACTGCAGCTATATTATGGTTGTAGCACGAATGGATCGGCTCGACCGGGGAAGGACCACGCTCTCACAGAAAACCAGCGTAAAATAGCAGCTTAACGCTGCTGTGTTTCGTATGGTGAGTGTAGAGAACCGGAGACACTTTTTACTGACAAAGAGGTATTCCATCTTAGTCCTCACGGGTGACAACGCATCTACATCTTGAGTCTTTATTGAGGATAGATGTAGATGTCTATGGGTCACAGTAACCACTTACCATCAGGTGGACTGTGTGCTCGTTTGTCACCTGAACCTATAAAAAAAATAATCATATAAATCAATTAAAATAAAATAAACATCCTATTCATGTCTCTTTACGAGTACATTAAAAAATAAATTAAAGAAATAATTAATTGAAAAAGTACAGAATAATATTTCGGAGACTTATTAAAATATTTATATGAGAATTCCTGACTTACGAAATCGGACAACAACCAGAGTAATGAAAAAATTAAATGAGATTATTTCCTAGCAAGTTACCTCGAGTTTTTGTACACAGACAATTTTTCATTATAACTTTATGTACCGAACGGAATTGGCTTCATTTTAATATAAATTTCATTACTACTTAAAAATTAACCTTATTTATGTATTTAGATATGTTTACCATAATAAAAAATTAAAAACTCGAATTATTATGTAGTCCTACATATGTATAATCTGAGATATAGCGCCAAGAACGCTAGCTGTGTTTTTTCGCTGAATATACTCAACCTTTAAGCGAAAAAAGATCCAGCCCCCTTATCACCAGCAGCAGCGACAAGTCGCGGATAGAGTTCGTTTAGGAACTACACCGCACATAGACCCCACGGACTGATAATCTCTAGAGCAAATATGTAGTCATTTTTAAAAAACAGATACTTGCGCCAAAAATTAAATATTACAAATAATCAATAAACTTGATTTTATTACATTGTCTAAATGCACAACTCACGCATTTTAATTCCTGTCTTCAGGATTGTACCCAGTATATCCAAAAATTGTCTGAAAGAAATAGCTTTTAGTTATAACATTGCCAATTGTAATACCTTCCAACATAGTGTTTTAAATTTAAATTTCTTCTCTTATTTTGTAATTTAGTATGCGCTATTACTTACTTATTACTTACTTACTTGACCTCTTTTGTTAAGTTTCTCGCAAGTATTGTTTCCACAAAGAACATGTTACGTAATACTAGAGATACTTATTTAGTTTCGCTACGCTGCATTATTACTGCTGCAGCACAAATAGTATGACCCGCCCGTAGAAGGAACACAATCTTGCAGAATACCAGCGTAAAATAATATTAAAATCCTCCAAACCGAGTTTTGGCAACGGTGGCCATTCGCAATGGAGGCTAGCCGTCTGCCCAGGACAGGATTAAAGTGCACGTATATACACAAGCATAGATACACTCGCTATTCCCTCACTCTCTCAGTCCGATGGGAATTCCAGTTAACGGAAAGAGATCAGGTACAGCACCAACGCTTTCACGTGTTTTCCGAGACCAGAGTGTTTAATACTAATGAGAATTTCTTGACAGTAAAATCCAATAAATCACTTTGATTGGACCTTGGATTCGAACCCGGGACCGGGACCGGATCATGAGGAGCAGCAGTCACGCTTAAAACCAACAAGGCAGTTAAACGTAATATATGTAACTGTAGCAGTTAAGAGACAATTCAGTGTAATCCTCAATTCTTATCGAGGATAGAATAGTGTAGGTGTTAATGTCAGAGCGTCCACTTACCGTTAGACTTATGTCATCATTTACAGATAAAAGACTAGTCTTAAAAAATTTAAATATTAAACAGAAACTTAAACACATAATCGAAGAGCATTGAGTGTTTCTTAATCGGTAAACAGAAATGCGTTACATACGCATTTTAAATAAACATAAAAATAAATTAATTTTAATCTATTTATCCTATAAAACCGGTTCTTACCGTAAATTTTGCTTAGTTTTCCCTTAAGTCGGGAAATAGGGCCCTGTTTTTGCGGATAAATTAAGAGATAAGCTATCAAAATAACATAAAACAGGAATTAGCGGCTGTCGTCAACGGCATCCGTTTTTTCTTGTTTTCCTAAATATTTTGAAAATTATAGTTGTAAAACGGAAAAATAATGAAACAACAATTTTAATGTTAAATGGGAACTAACACATTTTAGCAGCGTTAAAAATTTTATACGTCGTTAAAATTTGACGGCTTGACGATTTGACGGCTCCGTGGCGCAGTAGCTTAGCAATCAGTTGTTGCGCTGGGGGCCGTGGGTTCGAATCCCGCACGGAACAAGTATTTTTATGGCCTACAAATAATTGTTCCGAGTCTGGATGTTTGTCCTTGTGCAATTTATGTTTGTAAACTGCCTCCACGACACTGGAGAAAATCCTAGTGTGGGGGTAACGTTTTAAAAAAATGTATGTGTCAATCTATGGGTAAGGTCTATGTTCTACGGTGGACTTTTATAAAATCTCAAAGCTATAATGGATGGGGATAGATACTCGTCTGTATCTCTCGATATACACGTCGATACTTGCATGGCAACAGGGGTAACGCTAAAGAAACACATTGAATGCTATAATCGTCAATCAACCTAGTGTAACATGCATGGCGATAAGGGCAAATCCTTCCAAATTAAATAGAGTTGTGGTAGCTCAGTGACCAACCTGGGTTCAATTCCTGTCGGCACCAATGAAATTGGTAGGTAGCTCAATGGTCCACAGCAAATACTTAGCTCTTAACGCAAGTAAGTCAAATAATTGGATTCTTGACACAAAACATCAAACATCCTAAACTACCGATTAATAGTTAAGTAGTAGATAAGATGAAAGAAGCCAAAATTCTTGAATTAATTGTAGATGATGAACTTAAATTTGAAAAACATATCGTAAAAAATTGTTTCGACCGATTAAAAGTTTCTTATCAAATTAGAGATTCGCTAAGTACGAATATTAGGGTTGTTCAGATGGTTGACTCTCTGGTGTTGTCGAAATTTCACTAACTGGATGTTGTGTACGGTCCTGGCTCACTATTCGAACGGAAAACATTATTCAGAGGGTTGAAAACGCGTGTGCACAATTTTGCTTTAGTATACCACCACTCCATACTCATGTCACATCGTTTCTTAATAATGATAATATGATAAAAATTAAAAGTAGACGCAACTTTTATATGGCTTGGTTATTACTTAATTTATTAAATAATCGTACTCCATCCTATCTTTCAAATAAACTTATCCACTCCTGTGATATTATCAAACAAGACGATCTAAGTGGTCTCTAAAAGTCTCAAGCTGTCGTGTTCAGTAATTTCGGGGTAGCT